TTGGTTTATAAAAAAGTATTAGTCCTAACTTAGTCTTAGTATTAACCTTAATCTTAGTCCTAATAAGTTAAATGTACAGAATGTAATGTATCGGTTTATAAAAATCCCTAGTCGTAAGGAGGTCTTAAGACATGACCTTGAAAGTTCGCATCTTTTAATTTTTCTAGGATTAAGACTAAGATCTGAGAAGTGCGCAAGCACAAGTATTGCATTTCGTAGCATAGTGACCTCCTGTCTTTGTCTATGGTGGTCGCCAATACGCCATTACCATAGTAATAGGTTATATTTTTCTTTTCACTCACCAACAAAACAAATAAAATAACATTACCACAGAATATTACACAAGTTTTATGCTGTGATATTACTACCCATGCGCGTAGTCGAATCGCTCATTGGTTAATCTTAATAAAATTAGGACCACACATTGTTTTTATAAACATGTACCTATTCTTAGGACTAATACTAAGATTAGTGTAAAGGTTAATACTAAGACTAAGACTAAGTTAGGACTAATACTTTTTTATAAACCAACCATAACTTTCTTCTGCAAGAATTACATATAACCTCTTTTCTCTCATCAAGTTTCTGAAAAAATATGCAACTTTAAACAGGAGGAAAATAACTGTAGCGGAAAATTACAATGAAAAATAAAATACAGTTTCTTTACACTTGAGGCTGTTAGGATGTAATCTTATTATATTTCACCTACTTACCAATTTTAGTAAAAGAACATCTAGAATGTCTCTGATAATGTCGTTTATCACTTCAAAACTTTCATCGGTTATATTTTTAAGGCAAAGCCTACAAGACGTTTCCTTAACTTCAGTCATTGCTCCGCAACAATCTTCTTTTAAATATAAACAGAACACAAAAACAAAATGCCGTCACTTCTTCTAACCTTCTGTGCTTTTTAGGACAGCACTGGAGCACTGGCAGTTAGCGCTATTGGCATCATAGATAAGAGAGGCAAGGCAATACTATTTTGCATTGGCGGAGCATCTGGTTGTTGATTGTGGTTAGGAATAGAGATGGGCGAAACTTGACGATCCGGCTTGCCGTACTGACACGAGAGACCGGAGTGACCCAGTTCCTTCGTTCCTTCTCAGTCATTCCACAAGACAGCCGTCCCATGCATAGAAAATATAGTACTAACGTAGAGTGAAATCTAACATATGAGTAATGAAACTGTCATGGCGGCGTCACATGTTAGTTAGCTTCCAAAATAAAAGATGGCGCAGAGAATGCTAACCCTGTCATTTTGGGTTGGTTGGTAATGCAGTTTGGACTTTGCACGTATTTGAAGTTTGGCTTTCGTTATCTTTGGTTTCTTAGGTTATCCTCTGAAAATTGTAAATTATAGTATTGCAAGAATTGTGTTTATAATTATTTAGTGCTTAAGAGTTTTCTATTTGTTATTATATTATACTGGGAATACGATGTGTAAGTTTTAAGTTATATTTTATTAAAAACCAAACCTATATCTTTACCAACATTATGTGGAACACTCATACTCATGTTACCTGTATTAATCGATTAGAAACAGTCCACATAAAATGTGCATGTTTGAAATTACATATTATTTAAGTTAAATATAGATAAAAATAATTATGTGTATGATGATAAACTCCAACTAATATTTTATAAAACCTTTGATACTTAGATGCTTACAAAATTTTTAATGGTGGTGAATTGGTTTCTTTATTCAGTTTGAGACATAGAAAATATACTGTTAATATTAAGGTTTGAAAGTTCCAAACTATATGAACTATTGAATTTAACCCAATATTGTACAAATATTCGGTTAGGTGTATACCTATCTCCGTGAGATTATTATAACAGTTCATGCATAATTTTTATATTTTTACAGCTTACTTACCAACTTATCAAGTTTATGAAGCAAATGAATTAAATCGTTGTCGTTTTTACCTACAATTAAATACATAACAAGAAATTGTTTTAATAGTACATGCATAACAACATTCTGTATAAATCAATTAGGATTTCTTGTAGATACAAAATAAACTTAAAATTATTAAAAAATGTTTTATTTCCTTATCGAAACCATTTACTAAGTATATCTTGGCAAATGTCAAAATTTGAAAAATACTATAATATAATAAAATAATAAATAAGAAATTGTCTGTATTTATTTGTGGCATTATAAATGTTATAATTTGGATATTTTGCCATAGTTTGAAGAAAAAAAAACTGGAAAAATAAACCCTTGTACCGATAGGGACAGTCAAGTGTCAATACTGAAAACTTTTGCCTAATAGTGAGATGCCAGAGACATACATCTACATGTATAAGTCTGGTTACGCACTGGAAAAACAAATACACATCACAATAACACTGACGTTTATGAAACCTCTAGTTTCGTTATCAAAGCAGAAGCGAATTAGAAAAGTACTGAATATTAGTTTTTCGCTACATTTTCTGTTTAACTAAATAATCTGTTCTCAAAAGTATTGACACTTGACTATTCCTATTTGTATAAGGGTTTACTTTTAAAATAATATAATATAGAGGATATAAGTGAGAAGTCGTTTCCATACGATAGATGGCGCTGTAATCAGTTCACAAAGTATAAAGTGTTGCCTACTCATTAGGGGCTAAGTAGTAGTAAGCTTCCAAAACGTTACGTGGCGCTGTTTCGCGGTTTAGTGGCAATATTAGGGACATTTCATTCTACGTTAGTACTATATTTTCTATGGTCCCATGGCACCGGTCGTGTGAATACGCCTATCTTTATTTTTTTTTATTGATGTGACCGAATAGTGGAAGGTCTGTTTATTTATATTTTCAGTTATAATAGATCAACTTTATTATTTCTGTCACTTTCCATTTTGTTTTATAAATTAATATTTTATATCTGTTGGGTAAAAATTTTCAATAAACGCACGAAATCAATTTTAAAAATCTCGTTACGACTGGAAATTGTCGCAATAATGTTAATAAGCATTTCTTATTTCCACTATCTGGTCACATAAATAAAAAAATATATAGATAGGCGTATTCACACAACTGCCATTATTCTATGGCTAGAAATTGGCCTCAATGATTTGGGATCGAGGGGGATTATCCCTCTTTATCCTGCCTCATCTCGTGTAGGCCTGGACAGCCTTCGTAGGTGGGCCCCATCCGTCGTCTACCCCGACCGCAAATGCGGCCGGTGTAGGCGCTTTGTGGGACCTCCTTTTGTCCTGGCTGGGCCCCGCCGGCTAGGGCCCTTTCTTCTGGCGCTCTTCTTGCTTCGCCGGCTCGTCTGTGTAAACCCCGGGGGTAGTGTCATGTTTATGTGTGGTATGNTTTATTTTTTTTTATTGATGTGACCGAATAGTGGAAGGTCTGTTTATTTATATTTTCAATTATAATAGATCAACTTTATTATTTCTGTCACTTTCCATTTTGTTTTATAAATTAATATTTTATATCAATTGGGTAAAAATTTTCAATAAACGCACGAAATCAATTTTAAAAATCTCGTTACGACTGGAAATTGTCGCAATAATGTTAATAAGCATTTCTTATTTCCACTATCTGGTCACATAAATAAAAATATATATAGATAGGCGTATTCACACAACCCATGGCATGGCACGCGTACCATGGGACAGCTGTCGTGTGTAACGACAACGAGGAACCGGAACAGCAAAATGAGCCGGATAAAACTAAACAATATTCGAAAACAATTATTATCCTTATACATTTGTTTTTATTGACAAATATAAATACTTGTTAATATTTAAAGTGTAAAAAGTATCTTATTAATTCACGTGTCTAGATAAAAACATATGTTTATTCGTTGTAGTTCACTACGGATTAAAAACGCATTAAAAGCTAAAGTACTGACCCAATATTGTGGTAGGTCAAGATTCACTCTCGATAAACCTTTGTGGGTCAGCGGTGAGAACCCGTTGGAAAAGGGGTTTAAATAATTATTTGAAAATATTTTTTCTGCATAAACATGCATTTTAAAATGTTTTTAATTATGTTTTTATATTCTACTTATTTTTTCTTGTCTGTCCTTACAATTAATAACATTATGACCGAATCACCCAACTGTCAATGTGTAAATGCCACAGTAATACTCGACTCGGCAGTTCCCTCTATAAAAAAAATTTACATTTTGCTTCAATTCAAATATTTATTTAAGGAACAATATAAACATCTTAAAAAAAAGTATGATGAATG